AAAATGTCGTAAAATAATAATAATATATCTAATCTTTATTTTTAGTAATAAATGGAACGATTTCTAAAGAAGTCTCAGCATTTTTTTAATTTATAAAAATGGAAGTATTTTCAACAGCTTATCAAGATAAAAGTAAAAATAGTGTTTTTTGCACATCATATTTTAATCCTTCAACAATAACATCTAATGAGATTAAAACTGATAAAATTACAAGCATAGATGAAACAGTAAGTATAAATACAAAAGATATTTCTTCGACTGATTATGTAAATTCTGAAATATTAACATATTATAATAAATCTAAAAGTTACAGCGACAATGTAGCATTAGTATGTAATACATATTCTGATATGATTGCCTCAGCATGTAACTCTTACAGCGACAATATTGGTTCTAAGTGTAATGCGTACACGGATACAAAAATAGCTTCAATACCAACTCCAAAAATAATATATCCATATCCAAATATAATTTCGCAAGACGCAACAACATATAAAAATGTTACTTATTCTATTAAATCAGAAACTGATAAAACTGCATAATTTAGAATAAAAATTGATAATGTTACAGAATTCTTAACAACAAACAGAACAGTAAAAGTAGTTCCATATGTAATTATTAATAATGAAATTTATAAAGTTATTGAACAAATTAGTGGTGGAAGTATGTTGAATGGAAAAATATATACAACAGTACAAAATTTATTTAATGTAAATCAACATCCAGTAATAATAATACCAGATACAGTTAGTTATTTATGGGGTGATGGATATTATTGTTTTAATTATTTCAGTTTATATTTACCAAAGAATTTTACATCAAATAGTAATTTAACATCAATAACAACTAAACCAATATGTGTTTATTTATATTGTAATCTTAATAATTTATTTTATCCTGGTGTTAATTATTTAGGAAGTAATCCAAATTTAATGTGGAGTAATATAACTATAGATAGTAATGGAATAATCTAATAAAACCAAACTTACAAATAACAAATACATCATCTATTATAGAAATATGTCAAGGTTCTTCACTAAAAATATATATGTCATCTAAAGCTGTATCTAATTTTACAGATTATAAAACATATATTATTAATTCATTAGGAAGAACTACTACAACTACAATTTATGATATTTTTGAATCAAGTACTGTTTATAATAATTATAATTCTAGAAACAATTTATGGTAAACCATCGAAGATTGTCTGAGACATTGAAGATGTCTTAATTAATTTTAAAGCACTAACAGAATCGAAGATTTCATAATGTGTTTTTTTCAAAACACTAAATGGTTGAATTAGAAAAAATAGTAGAATTAGCATCATTATTATCATTTATATTTCTGATAATATTTATTACAGTATTAGAAATATTTACATATTTGTTTAAAAAGAGATTATTCAAATTAAAAGAGCAAAAAATATTAACAACAGATATAACACCAAGAATACATAGTGTTTAAAATACTAAGAACCTACGGTTCTCAAGTTAAAACACCAATTCTAACTGAACAATGAAATAATAATCAGAATCAATAATGATTATATTATTTTTGTAATCAGTAAACCATATTTTTATTTTTCGTTTATTGTCTTTGATTTCAAATGATTTTTGATTATCACTGTTAGCAAAAATTATAAATCCATCTTGTGAAGGATAATCATTACTAGAATTCAAATCACTTCTTAAAATATTTCCACAATCAATCTGACCTGATGAATTATAGAATCTAGTAGCAATAGTATTAATATATTTATTATTAGTAGAACAAACAAATTCAATTGGTAATTCAACTTCAAATTGATATGAATTTATTACTTTGCAATTATTATTATGTAAATTTGTGTATAATTTTCTCATTTTATTGAACAAAAATAAACATATACATAAATAACAAATTGTAAATAAGCTTTGCTTAGATTGTATTCGCTTTGACTTTATTAATATTGAATTATATGTAATCACGAAGTGCAAAATAACATGGAATTGTTACAATTTTATCATTATCATCAAGTTTACATATTATGTTACCATGATCATATCTTATCATTGTTGCTTTAGTACTAAAATAATTTCTTGTCTTTCTGAAAGTATTGTCTTTGCTATTATCCAAATATATTATTAACTTGTCTCCATATTTATAAGAAAAAATCCATTTTTAAATTATTTATATAATATTTCATCATTCTTCTTAACCATTTGTTTAATATAATCATATTCAAGTTGATAGCATTTATACATATTGTTGTAATTAGGTATGTATTGCATATCAATAGGTCGATAACCAGTTTTATTATGTTTTGAAAAATTATAGTAAGTTACAATTTCTTGAATAAGTATATCTTGATTTTTGTTTACGTATCTCGACAGTGTATTATCATAAGCAGTTCTAATTGTTCTGATAACTCGATCTACAACTCTGTTTTTATTAATATGTTTGGATGAGGATGAATATGTTCTTATATTCAATTTATTGAAATAATTTGACATATAAGTGCTGTTCAATGCAGATTCACCATCAAAACGTATGTTATCAAAAACAACTCCAACATTAAGTAAAGTATTAAAAGGCATTATTAAACTGTCATTATTTTTATTATAAAGTGAAAATACATATAAATATTTTGTGTTAATATTAATAATGAACATGTAGATATTTTGTTTGGTACTGTTTCCGGAATCAAAGAAAGCTAAATTGACTTCATAACTGTTAAAATTTGGAGAGTAATAAGGTCTTGAATAAAGTTTCTTCATGGTTTTAGGATTGAAGTCTTGACTAATTATTTGTTTCTTATTGATATTTTTTTAATATAGATTCATATTTATTTAAACTCTTAAATGGATAATCAATTGTTAAATTATTAGAAGGTATGTTCTCCATAAATATTTTATTACGTTTTTGATTTACAAGTTGTTCTCTATGTCGCAATCTTCTTGTTTAATGTTTTTAAATTTGTTTTTGTTTAATATCAATTCCTTCTCTAAAACTCATTTCTGATTTATTTTAAACTATAAAGTCGAGGTCCGGAAATTCAGACTGTGTCCCGACTACGTTGTTGTTCGTGGAACCTCACTTCGTTTCGGTTCTCCTTATTATGTTAGTTTATGTTCTAGTCTGGTTCAAAGTTTATTTTTAAAATTATTTTCAAAACTATACTAAGTCACCTCTCTCGAACTTTTAGGTTTCACTTAGAGTAGTTATAATAGGTCGACTCTCTCGAACTCGCAACTTTTTGCAAATATTATTAAAATACTAATTTATGTTTATTTTAACATATATTACTTCAAATTTTTAATTTTATATAAATTTTAAAATAAACAACATTTTAGTGTAAAATGAGCAAATTGTAGGCAATTTTAAGTCATTCAACTTGAAAAATGAGGTCGTAAAAACCCATATAAATGATGGTTAATCCTTCACGATTTTTGAACAAATTTTTCGCAAAAACCAGGAAAATCGATAATAAAAACTGTTTCATCCTTTGGGGTTTTCGAAGGTTTTGAAATTGAAAAATCGCTGTAAAATAACACTGTGTGTTAAAAAGGGGGGTCCAAAAAGTTAAAAAACCCTAATAAAGTGATTTTCATAGTGTGCGATTTTTGCGAGTTCGAGAGAGGTGACCTACTATAACTACTTTGAAACACAACAAAGTGATATGAAATTTCATCCAAAAAGATTATTTTGACC